TAATTTCATTCTCCCTTTTGACTGCTGGTTGAGTATTGTGCTGCAGTTCAACTCAAGTTAACCACTACGAAGGAAAACATGTCTGAGAGACGCGAGGAAGAATCTCACGCCACCGAGGAGCCTCCGCACAGCGTCGAAGGGTGGAAGGAGCGCCGCAGCGGCCAAGGTGGAGGCTTGCAGGCTCTATCGAGGATGTCCGTAGTGTGCGGGGTGGCCAAATCAATACAATTTTGCTGAACGACTTCCTTCGGCAGTACGTTGGCCCCGACAGAGCGGTGGCTGAAGACCAAAATGTGGTGATGGAGGTGTTTGTGCGTGGGCCAGACAGGTACGTTACAGAGCAGAGGCGTCGTGAGGGGAAATCCTCAATTCACCAGGGTATCAGCTTTTTGAAGATGCACGCAAGCTTACGGAGCGCATGGTGGGCACGCTGCGAGACTGGAAGGAATTTACAGATAAGGAGTATTGTCTCTGCTATTACACGAACAAAACTGAAGGCAGCTCTTCAACTAGCGTAGGAGGAAGGGGCAACACGGGAAACCGAAGTACGCCCCAGAGGACCATCACCGGAGGCATTCTACGAGTCCGTGTTTAACGCAACGTGGAGTCACGTCGTGGGGTTTCCCGAGGGCGAAGGGGAAGACATGGTGGTGATAGAGGGCTAACGGCCACAAGAGTTATTATGGATGGGAGTACACGCAGACTGTGCGTACTTTTTTCTCAGTGGGTGGTGAGGGGCAATTCCGTCCACCACGCCCGCGACTCATGATCCTTTCCTCTGAGAAGCTATGGCCGTACTCGCTGAACCATTCAGTACGTATTACCGACTGCTGCATTAACATTGAGGTGCATCGGGTGTAGAAGATCGTCGAGGGCGATCTAAAAGGAGTGTTTTCCCCCTACAGAGAGAGACGCACCATACATGGGACGCCGTCTTTTGGTTGGACCCCCCGGGGTAGGGACGTCAATGGTGGCTGGCTCCTACCTCCTTCATCAGCTGCTGCACCACGACGCCACGAAGCTCCATGTGGTTATGTACTGCTTTGGAAGGGATTTCGCATACTTGTTTGACAAGAGCACACAAACGGTGACAATATACGCGGGTGGGTGTAATATTGGAAGGGTTATGGTAAATTTGGCTGGGAGTGGAATGAAGGGGTATATCATCATCGATATGGCAATACAATTTAACGAGCCATCGAATGATTTTGTGCCCTCCCCTGAGTGGGGCATCATTATGTTGTCATCCCCGAACGAAAATAACTTCAAAGCATGGATGGAGCAGGCGGGTACTATCAAAATCATCATGAATTGCCCCGATGAAAACGACGTGAAGGCGATGTGTGCGTGGGAGACACGCAATACGACTGAGGAGGAGCAGGTGGAGTATTGGAGAAGGATGCACATGCGCACGGATGACGTCGGACCGATTCCACGATGCATCTTTCAATTCAATGAATATGAGGACCGCGTGCGTGACGGCAAGAACATCCTGGCAGGTATCGACGCCTCAAATGCTGTACATTATGGGATGATTGGAGGCATGGGAATGTGGCCCTCGAATGACGCTTCCCATAAACATGTGAAAGCTGTCGGATTAATAACACAACGCGGTCTTGAGGGGTTTGTTAACCTGCCGGTTTGTTTTCTTTTGTTTTTCTTTTTTGGAAACAAATTAATTGCAAGGCTGCTCGAAGTGAGTGAGGAGAATGACATTATTTATCGACTATTGAAGTACCGGAGAGTGTTATTGCCGGAACTTTTGGGGCGGTGCACTCTTCACGTATTCCTGCGTAGAGACTTTGTGGAAAATGTAATGCCGGGCCTCAACGAGTTGCCTCCACCAGGACGTCGTCGGCGACGGAGATGTGTGCTGCAATCGAACCCCGAAAAGCATCCAAGCAGACCCGTTGCATTAATAACGCTGGACCACACTGCTCCCATGTTGCATGCACAATGCGGGGTGCTATACGTACCGAAGAGCAGAAGTTTTCCGTTGTGGACGGCTTTTTCTTCGTTGGTGCACCGCGGAGGACGATGGTTGCGGTGCAGGTGAGACCTGGGCTGAGCATGGCACCAAAGCCAGCACGGTGAGGCGGTTCAACAATCTTCCACGGAGTTATTTTAATGACTGGGAAACTTTTGCGGAGGGCTTGTCGTGGGGGATTATTTACGTGCAGCATGAGGACAGTACGGCAATAAACGCGTGGCAGCAATGCGTTGTCGTCGCGCACGCAAATGTAACGGGCAGCAATGAGCGTGAGGGCCCTCGGGCCATTGCGGCATTTTGGAATCAGCAGGTGCGTCAGTGCTAGGTAGCGGTACCAGCTGAAAATTACAGAGGTGAATGACAAACCCAACGTAGATGACAACCAGAGGGAGAAGGAAAAGGAGGAGGGGAATAGACAGCTTGAGT